GGACCGTTTCTTAAAACAGTCTCTGGAAGGGGCCTACGTTCAGTAGTGGACGAATAAAGGCTGATAAAAGCTATTTAAAGGATTTGAATAAAATTTGGTACATTTTGTCTTAACGTAACGCCTAGAATACGTTATGTACTTACTGATTCACGTGGGCGATACCGCTGGATATAATATAAGTGCCAATAATATATCAAGAAGAAACCCAGTCCAATACATTCATACGTACTCATAAATACAAGTATTTGCTTTGTGCGGGGAATTGAACCCGCAACCGTTAGAAGGTCAGACACTACCAAAGTTATTAAATGAAACACATTTGTAGTGAAAGTTGAAAATAGTTATTTTTAAAACTTTCACGTTGTTTACACATATTTATTTATTTATAGGATCACCAACATAAGATACAGCGAAACATTTCAATACAATACACTGGTAGATTAGATCTAACTGTTCTTACATTTATAGGCAACCACATCATGCCTTGAATTTGATAAACATTAAAATGGAATTAAATTATTAAATGTCATTAAATGAATATTTACTTATATTAGAAATATAAGTAAATAATAAAAGTTGTAATTAAATTATATTAAATTATAAATAAATATAATGTAATAGGGAGGTACATCAACATTTTAATTTAGCCATGAACACAGAGTGACTATTGTTGTGAATATCAAGTTCAGGCTTAGTTTTTACAATATCGTTATACAGACGCGTTATGCCGACGATAGGTGATTCGCGGCCCAAATTTGTTCTGCAAGCAGCATTTTTAAATAGATTGCAAGGATGCTGCGGCATTGTATTCAAGTTTCATAATTTTAAATACACTATCCGGATTAAACGCGACCAAATTTTTTTCCAGGTAAATAGTATCTAAATACCTGCTTCTTTATTGCTGACGTTTCATTCATTTTAGTTTTACATAGCGTTAAGTCCAGATAGTGTATTTAAAAGGAGTTGACAAATATTTTAATTTAAAAAACTGCCTCATTAGTGACGTGTTAAAGGTACAATATTTCACTCTTCTTTTCCATACTTAGTCTATGGGTACAACGAGTAGCCTCTACAGATATGCTATTAATAAATAGTAAAGCAAAATATTAAAACTAGTGCAAGGGAACTAAATTAAGTCCTACAGCAGGTCGAATACTCAGCAGAGTAACATTATGAATAAATAAAAACTATTTATTGTTCCCTTTAAAGAATCATACAAATTTTAAGGATTAAGGCAATATAATCTTACAAGAAAAATAAATTTAAATTACCTTTGATTATTGCCCCAATTATAAAAAAAAAAAAAACATTAAAATCTATTCTCAATTATCGAAGATATTGCGTAACATAATAGTCGAATTTAGAATGTTCTTCTTTTTGAACGTTCCTTTATTCGAAATTCAAAACAAAACCACACAATTTCAATATTCAACTGATATAAATTTCCATTAATGTCGTAGATAAAGAATGTAAATATTCTTAATCTATAATTTCCTTATTCTAATAATCAAACAATAGATTTGATTATCCAACCTCAATAGTACCTATTATGTAAAACGAAAGCCCTCCAATACTAAGGAATACTAGCTGATCTGTCTAACATTGTTGGGTCATATAATTTTTTTCTGGATAGAGACACCCTAATTACTTAGCAGTTACTTTTTTATGCAAAATAAAATGTCAAACAAGCTGACGGCCCATCTGATGGAAAATGGTAAACGTCACCTATAGACATAAGCAGTACCATGGACATAACAGAGTATATTGTTCTGCCTATGATACGTTGCCACTTCTGACGACTCAAGTGTTATGCTTCTGTACCCTGTAAAATCGCTACCATAACCCACCCTACAAACCAAAACACAGCCATGCAAACACAACTTCTTCACGGTTGAAACACGAATGGGACAAAGGGGTACCTCTGCATAGTACAAAAGACGACCTTTGTACAAAGTCTCTCTCGGGTTCTTTACGACTTATTCTAATATCTACCAAATATACATAAAAAATTTCATAAGAGTCGTTCGAGCCGTTTCGGAGGAGCTCGCTCACAAACACCGCGACACGAGATTTTTATATATAAGATTTATAATTCTCCCATAAGCGTAGTTAATAAAAACCGATGCAATATCTCGCCACTATTGACACACCAATTTCAATATCTATACATAACATAAAGCGTTCCTTCATATCGGAATCATATCGATACACTTATTTACCGTATTCGATTAACTCCAATGAAAATACGCCAAAAAGTGTCCGATAAAAAGCATCGTAGATACGTTTTTTCTACGACACTGTATTTTATTTTTTCTTGCCGTTATCGTGTTTATTTGGCCAGCAAACATAGTAATGAAGGAATTGATAGTGCGGTGGTCATCGACCTCTTTTTTTTTTGGGTTCCTTTTAGGAATCGCTTGTTTCTATCCGATCAATAGGAGGCAATGTATTTGTTCACGTAAGAATGAGGGGTAGACTTCGTCACAGATAATATAATACAGTTTAGTAATTTAGAAGTTTAAAAAATCCGACTTAAAAATAGTTAAAACCAGGTCTTTTGAATTAAAAACTAAACTACTTGTTTATAATTACTCCTCTCCATCCAAAGGTTGCCTGGAAGAGATTGCTCTTAGCGATAAGGTCGCCCATTGTTTTCTCATTGTGATTATTTCTTGTAATTGTTTATATTTATAATAAGCTTACTATTGTAATCTTTTGGAGGATACAATAAAGAGTATCTATCTATGTACTCAATCGATTTCTATGCGTAATTTCTATAGGGTGATTAGTCCCGTAGAAATATATATGTAAGTGTATTCTTTCAGATAAAAAAACATTTTCCAGATCGCTTTAGAACGATGGATGTACGAATTAACAAACTCAAAAAAAAAAAAACAAGCGAATTGAGAAGTGGTTATTTAATTAGAATTATTTTGTTTAATTCCACTAACATTAGTACATGAGTGACTGCCAACACTCGAAGATTAGCTATCACTATTTTAATTTATTTATGAATTTGTAGTCATTTGAAAATATGTTAAAACATGACAAATATCTAGTTTTTTTAAGTACGTTTGTTCCGTTGTGGAACAGGCTAAGGTCGGAGATCATGCTGCCTAGTCTTCAATATGATAAATTGTCTGGAATCAAATATCTAGTTGGTACGCATGTAATTTTTTTTAATAAGGTTTGTTCCATAAGGAATAGGTTAAGGTCAATTATCATGCTGCCTAGGCTTCAATTTCATGTCTTCAGTTATCAATTATTTGTATTTCACATTTCATTGTCCGATTCAAGTTTCCTTGAAATAAATTCTGTAATATTTAATATTCAAAGGACCTTTTGTGCTAATAAATGCGAAAAATGTTTTCAACAAAATATACTACTATCATTGAATAGGTTTTAGGAATTTAGGAAAAAAAGATATTCATATTTTACGATGAAAATAGATGTAAACAGTAAAATACTATACCTTTTATATTTTTATTTAATTTTGTAGAATAAAAAAGTTAAATACCTACTGAAATTTACTCCTGTATTATATAGGCATAGATAAAAGAATTAACTGTATAGGAACCTCATGCATTTATTCCAATCTTGGGCGAAAATTTATGACTAAAACTGTACAATATTAGAACTGACGGGGTTATGAGGTAACAAACACATAAAAAACCAAGCGAATTGAAAAGTGATTGTTTAAATAGAATTATTTTGTTTAATTCCGCTACCATTTGTACTTTACTATAAGATTTTTCATTAATTCTATCAATATCAATCCCAATGTTGTCTGGTTAAATTCTTTACTAATTACTTCGATTTTAACTTTGTCTTGTTATTTATTACCGAATTGGGCTTGAAGTTCAATGCTAAAAAACGCCAAAGTAACTTCACACAACAATAAACCTAATGATCCACAAACGCGCCCTATATTCAACAAACAGATGCACCCAAAACCTCAGCGCTCTGACGAACTATCATCCGCCCTCGGTCCGTTCGAATAATTACAATCGACTCGCTGACAATCGCGCGATTCTATCACAAAGCTCGCATAATCGGACACTATGACGAATGCCACCGCAGCACTATACGACTTAAACGCCACGCTAGATATTCGAAATTCAACCGTGTAACATTTGTTGTGAGCGCAAATTCCATTAGCTATTTCAAGCATATAGTGATGTACTACAGTATGATACCCGTTTGTGACAGGGACAATGCAATAATCCGCGCATTGTTGAATCGACATTGTTGTTTTAAGGGCGGCCGGGCGTTCGCAACAATTGTACATTTTATTGCATAAATAATAACATTATTTCGCCCAGCGGCGTTTCATTGTGGCTTTTTGTCGCTAAACTTTATTCATTGTTCGAAACCATAATGTGATAATATTAAATGTATTCTACTGTCATTCGATATAAAGGCTTTTTTACCACAAATATAGCAAACTAAATCTACTTAATTATAAAAAGTCACTGTGACAGAAATTGGTGCTTTATTACAAACTGATGAATTCCCGTGAGGCCTCCAATTGAAGTCTTCGCGGCGAAATACTAGCACGAAAAAAGATATCTATATCCTTCTATATATAAGATCAAGCGCTGAGAGTTTTTTTTTTTTTGAAAGTCTTTGAACGCTTATACGGGAATAAACGAAATATTTGAAAGAGTTGGGAGCTCAGAGAATTAGTTGCAGTTGTTCAGCCTATCAAACTCCAGATAATGCTATTTCTCAAAGAGGCATGATTGCCTTAGCAAATGTCTATGTCAGTCAGTATGAAGGGAACCATGAACAAAATGAGAAAGCAAAGACACCACGCTCATTGATTAAATTTTATTACATATTACTATTGAACAGTAAACAATATTTTGTTTTTAGAGATATAAAAATAAAGTAAAATGTTTTTTATTGTTCTTCTTCATAATTCTCTTCCTATAATAGTTTAGGGAAGAACAAATGTCCTTTTATAAATTAAAATAATTAAATGTAGACATCTTTTACAGAGCACTCCACATGAAAGAACATCCAGACTACAAATATCGGCCGAGAAGGAAGCCGAAAGCACTCGTGAAGAAGGAACCGAAATTTGGTTTCGGTATCAGCGGGTTAATGGCACCGGTGCCTCGACTAGTGACGCCGTCGGTACCACATCCCGTACCGCAGTTGCCGATGCCCCATCACTTGCTGCCAGACAAGCCAGATCTGAGCAGAGCCCTGTTTCCCCCTTTGCCGTACCCGTTCTACCCGTTTGCGAAGATACCGTCATCAGATGAAGGGAAATTTGCCGCGGAATTGGCACATTTACAGGTAATTTCCCTATTTTCAACCCACTTCAAAGAAGGAGGTTCTTAATTCGGTTTTTTTTGTTCATAACTTAGTTGCAAACCGATTTGGTATACTTACATGCTTATAATTACATAGTTTATGATTACACATCATCATACCCGCCATTAACTGACCGCTGCTGAACATAGGCCTACCCCATAAGGAAGGTTTTGCCAGCAGTTGCCACGCTCGGCAGGTGGGTTAGCAACTGCAGTTAGCATTTAATGATGTTTTTAGAGAGTCCCCTGATCATTAAGTTCCCTTAGTTGCTTCTTATTCATGCCCACAGAGAAGGAAGAGGTGGTTCATTCTCTACCGGGGGACCACACCTTTCTTCCCCTAACCATTAAGTTTCCTTAATCGCTCCTTGTCCATGCCCACGGGGAAAGAAGGGGTGGTCCATTCTTTACCGGGACCACACGGCGACCTACTTACAGGTTGGAAATCGATCAGTATTTTAGTTTTAAAATCAAACAAACTGGTTTGCTAATGCGCTTTCATACATAATACGAGTATGTCTTGGATTCCATTTTGCAGTACCACTAATAAAATTCTTCTCATCCACAGGCTATCTACGGTGGTGCACTGTACAGTAGCGCGCTGTACAACAGCGCCCTCTCCCCCTGCGGCTGCCCTCCTCGGAGGACACCGTCCCCCCCACCTGCTGACGTCAAGCGTCCCGTCGCTTACGTCCTGATGAAAAGTGACGAGGAACCCCCGCAGCACGTCATATGAAGGCCGGTGGCGCTCCCCGCGAGGCCCTGGTCTCATTGGGAGCGGCCGTCGACCTCCGTTCAAGATCGGGAGACCAGCTCTCCTGATAGTGTGTGAATTACTGTGAGTAGAATGTGTAGATATATCAATAAATAGCATCTACAAAAGACGCAGTCGTATTCAAAGATGGTGATGAAAAACTTATTTGAAATAACATCTAATCAGACATTACAAATGATCTTGGTGAAGTGATGTAATTGAAGACAAAACGTGGACGTTTCTAATCACCTGATGAGTGATGTTAAAGGTACAGAGAAATGTGGTATTATTAGTTTTTTTTTTTTTTTTTTTTATGCAACTTGGAATGACAAACAAGCTGACGAGATGTGGTAACCAAGGATGAAATACCAGTACCATGGACAAAGACTATACTGTTTCTACCCCCCATGCGTTGCCATTCAAAACAGAATCAGATATAAGCAATAAACTATTTTTAGTGGAAACAATACTGTATCTACTATGGTACATTTATTATTACTGTAAAGACAAGAAAAAAATAGTTCGAATACAGTTAATTAAAGCGGTTGACATTTTTTTTAGCAATTATTTTCTACTAGGCATGGGTAATATCGATACCGATCCGATATCTATATATTGGGTTTCACCGGACATTAATGGCTGAAAAAGGTCATCACCCATTTCGATATCGCCTATATCGGTCGGATATCTATTTTCGAATATGATAAGTCTGTTATCCAAAAAAAAATATTGAATAACAGACATTTTTACATATTCGTCATTAGAACAGTTGAACCGTGAAGCAGTTGTGTTTGCATGGCTGTGTTTCGGTTTGAAGGGTGAGATATGACGTGAATTTACTGGGTACAAAGGAATAACACCTGAGTCCTCAGGAATGGCAACGCATGGAGGGTATGATGGTCGAAACAGTATACTCTGTTATGTCCATAGTACTGCTCATGTCTGTAGGCGACGGTTACCACTTTCCGTCATGACGAGCTTGTTTGCCATTCTAAGTTGTATAAAAAAAAGACCAGTATACAGATATTGTAACTAAAATGTATAGATATTGGTATATATTACCCACACCTATTTTCTACATATAAGCACACAAATTCTCAGTGTTATTAACAAATTACGTAATTACATTATAATCATGTAATTATACAATTTTATTTTCGATTTCATACTAATGTCTTCTTAATCCACAAAAATGGCAACGCATGTGGGATATAATGGGCGACACTGTCTGTTATGTCCATGGTACTGTTCATGTCTATAGGTGACTGTTCCCTTTTCCCATCAAGTGGACTCTCAACTTGTTTGCCATAATAATAAAACAAATGGAATAATTAATTTTAAAATGCATAAAGTGCAATGAAATGTTATATGTGCAATGTTATTATTTTTATTTGTTTTTTTTTTTTAACGTTTTTTAAAAAGAAAATGTATAGATATTGGGAGGTATGCCTCCACGAATAGATAACATATCATAGTTTAGTCATATTTGTATGTAATTATATGTAATAGTTAGGTGAATTAATGTCAATTTGTAAAAAGACTAGATCAGTTTAACTGTTGTTTAATTGTATTAATGAAGAAATCTTAAAAATTGTATGTATGTACTTAATTTTTCGGAAGTTTTCTTTGGAATCTTAATTCTTTGGAAATTTTCTGACATTATTGTGAAGACAGTGAATTGTCTGCAACCTAAATTCCTTTTCTATTCTAGTTGGGCTTTCCTGATTTTTTTGTTTTTTTTTTTATATACTAATACGAAATATTGGAAAAGATTAACGATTATATTTTTATCAGTTTTAACCGACTTCAAAAAAGGACGAGGTTATATGTTCGACTGTATATTTTTTTATATAAACAATATAACCGACAGACATTGTCGGTTTCTCTGTCAGTTGTGGACCGATTTCAAAAATTCATGTATTAAATAATTCTAAGATTTTATTGCACAAAACAAAACTGACTTCAATCCAGTTTTTTTTTTTTTTTTATTGAAAAAAATAAACTAATTTTGATGAAATTTCTTTAAAACTAATCTAAAAGCATATCCATTCAGATAAAAAAGAATTTTCTAAATCAGTATATATGTAAATGATGAAGTCATGAGGTAACAAAACTCATCTTTTTCAACTAATTTTAAAAAAGATTTTTTTTTTATGTTTTTAACCTCATAACTCCGTCAGTTGTAAACCGATTTGAAAAATTCTTTTTTTATCTGAAAGGGTGTACTTACAACTCAGTCCCTTATAAATTTTATCAAAATCAGTTTAGTAGTTTAGTTTTTAAATCAAAATAACCGGTTTTACTACAAGTGAGGGTAGTTTTTTTTTTTTTGTGGAGTACAATCTTAATTATTTGAAATCAGTAAAATAGAAAGCCCGATTGACGGACAATAAAGCTGTAAATACTTCCCATCAGTCTCTTATAGTTGGGAATAAGTTCTGACAGGAAATTTATTAAAATATGCAATGTTGAAGAACGTAATACCAATCAGACAGGATTCGTAACCGCATCTCTGAGACAACCGAAACAGATAAAGGACTGTCTTACCCATCTTAATATCTGAGAGATGCAATTTCCTGAATGCAGGATCAAGAATATTTCAATATTGTCTACGTAAATCCCAATAATAGTTTAGACAAGAGAATCATTATATTGATCATCAATATTGAACCATTGAATAATATGTCTATGATATTTTGTTTTAAAAATAAAATAAAAATCCTATTTCACAGTTCAGAAATTATAGCAAAATTAGCAAATTTCATTTTTGTCAAAAATGACAAGTTACATTGAAATTGTATACAATAAACGTGTCTACATATCGATTATAAAATACTGTAAATATTATCAAATAATTAAATTATAAGTAACGAATTAATGTAATGAAATATTCATTTGTTTCCAACTATTTTTGGTTACGATTAATTTTTATTAATGTTATTTGTTTTGCTAGCATTGTAAAAAATTTTTCGTGTAATATAATAACTATTTTATTTTGAGAGCATAATATGACAAAACCATTTGTAATATATCTCGAATAATTATTTGTTAATTTATATTTAAGATATTTGCCCACCGAAGTGATACAGACTGTTCTATTCTGTTGACCGTATTAAGAGACCGTATATTACGTATTAAGAGTCAATTATATGGCAATTTTCGAAAACAATTGATCATTTTTCAATGTTACCGATTGATTAATTAAAAAAGTACTCTGCTAGTAAACTAAAATGATAGTCATGCAATAATATTCTTATTAAGATGCTACTGAAATTTTGAATTTTATGCCAAAAATTTAATTTGAAAAATTCCAACGTAAAATATCAAATAGGTGTAAAATTTTTAAATTGTTAATTTACATGCGTATTCTATGATTAACGATTTCGTTATAAAAGTCTAACAAAGCACTCTATAAATAAATTAGTCAGAAAGATTGAAAAGAATGCAATTGTTTTTGAAAATTGACATATAATCGCGACGTTCCCACTCTTCGGTAAGCAAAAGTTATGAATGCTCTTAATAGTTTTTTATCAAACATGCTTGGAAATGTAAGCATTATTTTGACAATCTTCTTCGAGATAAATCAAAATTGCCGTACTGGCCAGATACATGCGGGCAGCGGCCGGCAAAAGTTGTATGAAAATCCATATCTGTCGTGTTTTGCGGCCAGATAAATTACTATGAAAACTCATATCGGTCCTGTAATTTAAAAATGGAATGACCTTTACAAGCCTTGGCCACAACTAGGCATTGATGGACTCACGTATGTGTGCCTCGGCTACACCTCGGCCCACATTTGTACGTTCGTCCATCAATGCCTCAGTTGCTGGCCGCTGCAGTAATGTACTATAAATCTATCGCAATAAAAAAAAGCAAAGAGCACACAGTCGTGCAGCTATTTTCTCATTTACCATATGTAACAATAACATTGTGTTTCCCTTTTAAATTTGTGCACGCAAATAGTGTTTAATCGTGGGCACACGTGGTACTGATGACTTGGTAAATGAAACTGAAAATTACTAAATTCACTTTCTGATTTATTTCTTGTAACACACTGACAAGTATTCTGATTGAATAATGTAAATTATACCTTTATAATTTACTGAACTACCAATATAATCGCAGCGACACGCTTCAACAAGCGCCGAACTGAAGAGCGATAATCATAGACAATCCTAGTTACATTTTTTAATAGATCATAGACTATAAAAAAACTGAGATCCTGTCCATTAGAAATGAATTACGATGAATTGAACTAAATATAAAAATTAAATTTAGACATGTTGAAGCATATATTATTGCGTAAACAGACTCTAATGTAAAGATATTTTTTCCAATACTTTATCCTTCAGTGAATCACGATCTAGAACAGTCTGATTACTGTATGCAATAAAAAAAAAAGTTTTAAGGAAAATACTGAAAATTTCTTCGTATCGAATTCCTGTTATACGACTAATGTATACGAATATTCTTTTTTGTGATTAAGTTCCTTTTGCAAATGTTAAACTAAGAATATGACATATTCTCAACGTATTGCAAAGCACAGAATTCAAAACATGATAAAATAGTCTTTTCTTATAAGTTTTCTTAAAAACCAAATTGGTATTTCTTATAATTTTACACCATCAGTAATATAAGAATTAATACCCCATGAGTGGGCATAAATTGCTCTAAATAATAGGAGAATTTAAACTACTATTACAATTCTAGCGAGGCAAATTTTGAAATTTCCTCTCATACGAAATTATGAACTTTATGCCCTTAGTAACCTCTTACATCGTCCTGAAGATGAAAAGTATCAAATATAATTAAGGATTTATTTATCAAACTTATCACTAAATATTTTAAATTGTAACAAATATTAATAAGCTTGATTACAAAAAACAATGAATCTTCAAAGTCAGTACAGAACTTTTTTGTGATGACATATTTTTTGATGTTAAAATGTGTTAAAATACTCTGCTCGTTGTAGTATAGTGCGTATATATAGTGGCAGTTTTTGTTGTAAATAATTTAGTACAATTTTTAGATCTAACCTAACACTTTCTCATGATCAAATACCTACAAATAATTATTAATAATAAATAATACTTTGATAATACATTATCAAACAATTATTGATAATTATTTGTTAAAATCTAAATAGCTACATACTAGAAGTTAACAAGATGTAACTAACCTAAAATGTTTGTTTACTTCTAGCAGCTAAACCAGTGACTCTCAACCTTTTTTTTTGTTGCGGCACATATTTAACGATTTCAAAATTTGGCGGCACACAAAGAAAAAGA